GGTTCTTTATTTCTTTGGTTAAGTTTATTACCAGGTATTTTAATTTTTTTGCTGCGATAATAAATGGAATTGTTTTTTTAGTTTCTTTTTCTGTGAGTTCATCATTGGTGTATAAGAATGTGGTCGATTTCTTAATGTTAATTTTGTATCCTGTTACTTTGCCAAATTCATTTATTAAGTGTAGTAGATTTATGATGGAGTCATTGGTGTTTTCTATGTATAGTATCATGTCATCTGGGAATAATGACAGTTTCACTTCCTCCTTTCCCATTTGGATCCCTTTTATTTTTCCTTCCGGTCTGATTGCTATGGCTAAGACTTCTAGTACTATGTTAAATAAGAGTGGTGAAAGTGGGCATCCTTGTCTTGTTCATGTTCTTAAGGGAAATGCTTTTAGTTTTTGCCCATTGAGTATGATGTTGGCTGTAGGTCTTTCATATACGGCCTTTATTATGTCAAGATATGATCCCTCTATTCCCACATTGCTGAGTGTTTTTATCAGAAGTGGGTGCTGGATGTTGTTGAATGCTTTTTCAGTGTCTATTGATATGATCATATGATTTTTTATCTTTCATTTTGTTTATGTGTTGTGTCACATTTTTTATTGACTTGTGAATATTGTACCAGCCTTGCATCCCTAGGATGAATCCCATTTGGTCATGGTGAATAATTTTTTCAATGTATTGCTGGATCTGATTTGCTAGTATTTTGTTCAGGACTTTGGCATCTATGTTCATCAAGGATATGGGCCTGTAATTTTCTTTCCTTGTAGTGTCTTTTTCTGGTTTTGGAATTAGAATTATGCTGGCCTCATAAAACAAATTTGGAGGTCTTCCTTCTTCTTAAATTTTTTGAAATAATTTGAAGAGAATGGGTATTATGAATGTTCAGTATAATTTACCTGTGAGGTTGTCCAGGCCTGGGCTTTTGTTTGCTGGGACAGTCTTGATTACATCTTCAATTTCTTCTGTTGTTATTGGTCTGTTCAAGTTTTCTATCTCTTCCTGGTTCAGTTTTGAGAGACAATGTGTTTCTAGAAATTTGTCTTTTCACTTTGATTGTCCAATTTGTTGCCGTATAATTGTTCATAATATTTGTTAACAATCTTTTGTATTTCTGTGGTATCAGTTATTATTTCTCCTCTTTCATTTCTGATTTTGTGTATTTGGGTTCTCTCTCTTTCTTTGTTTCTTGGTGAGTCTAGCTAAGGGTCCATCATTCTTGTTTATCTTTTCAAAGAACCAGCTTTTTGTTTCATTGATCCTTTGAATTGTTTTTTTGGTCTCCATGTCATTTATTTCTGCTCTGATCTTTACTTTTTCCTTCCTTCTACATGCTCTGGAGTTTTCTTTCTGTTTGCTTTCTAGTTCTTTAAGTGGTGAGGTTGTATAGTCAGTTAGAAATTTTTCTTGCTTCTTGAGGTAGGCCTGTAGTGTTATGAACTTCCCTCTCAAAACTGATTTTGCTGCATCCCATAGATTTTGTGTTGTTGTGTGTTCATTTTCACTGGTTTCCAGAAAGTTTTAAATTTCTTCCTTGATCTCCATGGTAACCCATTTATTGTTCAACAACATGCTATTTAGCCTACATGTTTTCAAATGTCTTTGCATGTTCATGTTGCAATTGATTTCTAGTTTCATGCCATTGTGATCTGAGAAGATGCTTGATATGACTTCAATCTTCTTGAACTTGTACAGACTTAGTTTGTGCCCTAACATGTGGCCTATCTTTGAGAATGTCCCATGTGCTCTTGAGAAGAATGTGAATTCTGCAGTTTTGGAGTGTAATTCTCTGTAGATATCTATTAAATGCACTTGATCTAGAGCTTCATTTAGAGTCTGTGCTTCCTTGTTAATTTTTTGTCTAGATGATCAGTCCAGTGATGTCAGTAGAGTGTTGAAGTCCCCTGCTATGATTGTATTGCTGTTGATTTCACTTTTGAAGTCCTCCAGAAGATTTTTAAATATTTTGGTGCTTCTATATTGGGTGCATATTTGTTTACCAAGGTTATATCTTCCGGTTGGATGGATCCTTTCAATATTATGTAGTGTTCTTCTTTGTCTCTAGTTATGGCCTTCATTTTGAAATCTATTTTATCAGATATGAGTATTGCTACCCCAGGTTTTTCCTCCTTTCAATTTGCTTGGAAGATTTTTTTTTTTTTTTATCCTCATCCGAGGACATTTTTCCATTTTCTGTACAGACGGAGGGAGAGGAAGAGAGAGAGAGAGAGGGAAACATCGATGTGAAAGGGACACATCGAGTGGCGGCCACCCGCACGACCAACCAGGGCCGGGGACAAACTGCAACCAAGGTACGTGCCCTTAGCGGGAACCGAACCCGGGTCTCTCGGGAACGCAGGCGGACACTCTAACCGCTGAGCCAAACCGGCCAGGGCTGGAAGATTTTTTTTACATCCCTACACTTTCAACCTATGTGAGTCTTTTGTTGTGAGGTGGGTCTCTTGTAACAACATGTAGATGAGTCATGCTTTGTTACCCAATCAGCTACTCTGTATCTTTTTATCAGAGCATTCAGTCCATTTACATTTAAGGTGATTATTGGCATGTACTTATTTATTGCCGTTTTTGTTTAGTTTGGTTATATTTTTCTTCCTATTTCTTCTACTCATTACAGCAGTCCTTTTAGCATTTCTTGCAGTGCTGGTTTGGTGCTAATGTATTCCCTTAGTTTTTTTTTATTTTTAGTTTGGAACGGTCTTTATTTGAACCTTCTATTTTGAATGATAGCCTTGCTGGGTAGATTAGTCTTGGATTCAGATCCTTGTTTTTCATGACCTTGATTATTTCATGCAATTTCTTCTGGCCTGTAGTGTTTCTGTTGAGAAGTCAGCTGAGAGCCTTATTGGGTTTTGTTTGTAGGTAACCTGTTGCATATCTCTTGCTGCTTTTAGGATTCTCTCTTTGTCTTTAATTTTTGGCATTTTAATTACTATGTGTCTTGCTGTGGGCCTGTTTGGGTTCTTCTTACTTGGGGCTCTCTGTGCTTCTTGAACTTGAATGCCTTTTTCCTTCACCAAGTTAGGAAAGTTTTCTGTCACTATTTCTTCAAATATATTTTCTAACCCTTGCCCATTTTCTTCCTCTTCGGGGACTCCTATGATGTGCATGTTATTAGGTTTCCAGTTTTCCACAGTTCCGTTTAGCTATCTTTCTGTTTTTTAATTGTTTTTTCCTTTTGGTTTTTTGATTGGTTGATTTTTTCTACCCTGTCTTCTAATTCACTGATCCGGTGCTCAGCTTTCTCTACTCTGCTGTTTAGTCCTTCTAATGTGTTCTTTATTTCTGCTATGTCATTCTTCATTTCCACTTGGTTGGTTTTCAATGTTTCTATATCTTTACTCTTGGTGCTAATGTCCTTACTTGTGCTGTTGAGCTTCCTCAAGATCATGGCTCTGAACTCTACCTCTGATCATTTGCTTAATTGCATTTCATTTATCTCATCTTCAATAGAGTTCTCTTGTTTTTTCATTTGGGATTTGTTTGTTTGTTTCACCATTTTGGCTATCTCAGTGGGATTTGGAGCCTGCCAAATTTTCCTTGTGGCACTTGGTGTTCTGCTGTTTGTGACTTCCTTTACTGGGTTTGAATGTGTGTGGGTGGGCCCGTGTTAAACACCAATGCCAAGTCTTACTTTCCTGGGTAGATTTGGAATCCCAGGAAAGTTTCAGTTATCCTGTAGCTTTTTGCCTGGAGGCTAGTCGTCTCAGTTACTCAGTGCCTTAGAATGTAGCCTTGGTGTTTCCTAAGAGGATTTCCAGAGGGTGTGAATGATGCTGGTTGTTAATGAGACCCAATTTGCATTTCTTTGCCTCACCTAAAAAAAGCTGAATGTCTGAGGGAGGGGCTACTACTTTCCCCCACAGCTCTGGGAAGGAGCAAACTGGCCACCATGCTTTGTGGCCATGACTCAGCAAAAACTATGAGTGCTCTTCAAGTCCTGTGTGTCCCCACAGAGTTCCAGCCCAGTCTTCCCTACTTCTGTTGGAGCCCCAGGTGAGTGGCTGTGGCTGTTTTAGTACTCTGTCTTGGCTCTGTGCTGTGGAGCGGGCTTGGGAGTTTAACCCCACAGGTGCTGCTGTCCTTAAGCTCTCAGCCCGCCACCCTCTCATGCCTCCACAGATCCTACTGGTGTCCCTGGTTATATGGTCCTCTTACGCTGCTTTTTTTTCTGAAGATTTGTCTTTATTTTTGTTGTAGTTCTCATTTGGTTCTGGGAGATTGTCTGTGTAGCTTGGCTGTGTAGCTTCCATTCACTCCGTCGCCATTTTTCTATCTCTGTTCATTCATTTTTTAACTGATAGTTATTTCCACCTTTTGGCTATTATGAATAATGCTGCTCAAAACATTCCTGTACAAGTTCTTGTGTGGATATTATATATTTTCATTTCTCTTAAGTATATACTTAGTAAAATTGGTGGGTTTTATGATAACTCCATCTTTTTGAGAAATTTTCAAACTGTTTTCCAAAGTGCCTGCCCCATTTTACATTTCCATCAAGGTTTCAGTTTCTCTATATCTTCACCAATAGTTGCAGTTGTCTATCTTTTTTTTTTTCTTCTTTTTATCCTCACCCAAGGACATTTTTGTATTTATCTTCAGTTAGAGTGGGAGGGAGAGAGAGAGAGAAACATTGACGTGAGAGAGACCCATTGAGTGCCTGCCACCCACACAACCCCAACCGGGGCCGGGGTCAAACTGAAACTGAGGTACATACCCTTAGCAGGAACTGAACCTGGGACTCTCTGGTCCGTGGGCTGACTCTCTAACCACTGAGCCAAACTGGCCAGGGCCAATTGTCAGTCTTTTTGATCATAGTCATCCTAATGGGTGGGAAGTAGTTTTGATTTGAATTGCCCTAATGACTAATGCTATTAAGTATCTTTCAGAAGTTAATTGGCCATCTTATGTATATTATTTGAAGAAATGTCAATTGAAATTCTTGGCTTGAGGCTGAGAGCTGCCCTTGCCACCACCAACATGGAGACTTTGTACCGAGTCCCATTCTTAGTGCTTAGCTCCCCCAACCTGAATCTGAAGAAGGCACCCTGGGTACTCATGCCCTTGACCATGACAGTGTGTGCTCTGTTTGTGGTGGTATACTTCCACATCACTGTAGGAACAATTTATGATATTATTGTTGAACCTCCAAGTGTTGGCTCTATGACTGATGAACATGGGCATCAGAGACCAGTCACCTTCTTGGCCTACAGTATAAATGGATAATATAATATGGAAAGATTGACATTCAGCTTCTTGTTTATAATGGGACGTTTAGGTTTCATAATCCTAGACTGATCCAATGTTTCAAACTTTCCAAAACTTAACAGATTTTTTCTATTCATTGGATTCATTTGTGTTCTATTGAGTTTTTTCATGGCTAGAGTCTTCATGAGAATGAAACTGCCGGGCTATCTGCTGGGTTAGAGTGCTTTTTAAGAAGAAATTTATGGACTGGATTTGTTCTTGTCAATGAAGTTTTTTTTTTTTTTTATCCTCACCCAAGGACATTTTTCCATTTTTTGTTCAGTTAGAGTAAGAGGAAGATAGAGAGGGAGAAACATTGACATGAAAGGGACACATCGATCCTTGGCCGGTCTGGCTCAGCAGTTAGAGCGTTGGCCTGTGGTCCAGAGAGACCTGGGTTTGGTTCCCGCTAAGGGCATGTACCTCGGTTGCAGTTTGTCCCCAGCCCTGGTTGGTCATGCGGATGGCAGCCACTCGTGTCTTTTTCACGTTGATGTTTCCCCCTCTCTCTCTCTCAACTCTCTCCTTCTCTCTCCCGCCCACTCTATCTGAACAAAAAATGTCCTTGGGTGAGGATTAAAAAAAGAAAAAGGAAGGGACACATCGAGTGGCTGCCTCCCACACAACCCAACCAGGGCCAGGAACAAACTGCAACCGAGGTATGTGCCCCTAGTGGGAACCAAACCCGGGTCTCTCTGGACCGCAGGCCAATGCTCCAACCACTGAGCCAAACCGGCCAGGGCTGTTAATAAAGTTTTAAAGTCTGTATCAATCCTACAATCTGTAATATGGAGAAAGATGAAAAGCAGCAGAAAAGAAGCATCTTGTAGAAGCCATGAAAAGCATATTAGAGATTGAATTAGATATCTTCTTGGCATCAAAGAGACAGGTTTAACACAGTATCTTTTCCTGCTGACCTATACCAGTGATGTTAAGTGCCATTTTTTCTGTTTTTAATTTCTTAAAGAAAATATGCTCCATTTCTACAACTATAATATTGAATAGAATGATTACCTCAACCCTCAACATTTTTTTGTAGGTGACATTTCTGACTTCCAGAAATTAATGTAAAATCAAGAAATAAGATCCCCTAAACTGACAAGGTCTTGGTTAAAATGGGCTATATTATCTGGGATTACCTGAGAGCTGTTGTCAGACAGGTGATATTTTACCATGAGTCAGCTCTCCCAGATGGGCTCTCGTGACTTGCTAGGACTCAGGAATAGTAGATTTTGAAGGAGTCAGGCCAGGAAATGCAGAGCAGATTTACTGGGCTTAAGGGAAGGCCACCAAACGGTGTGATGAGCTGGGTGCCGCTTGCAGGAGACACTGACAAGGAGGCAAAGGAAGGACCATGGAAGAGCATCAGGGACACACTTTGACTGCACATTTGTGCCCTGGCCTGCCCTGTGTATGGATAGCGAGCATTTCACCTTATCAAAGAGTTTTAATGTGGAATTAGGGGAAATGAATGGGCCTGAATTAACATGTATGTATCGTGACTCTGAGAGCATCTTGAAACCCAACTAATTTGAACTTAAGAAAGTTGTACCTAAGTGTAAAAAGGCTTCCTTCTGTCAGCAGAAAGACACTCTTGAAAATTTCTCCCATCTCTTTTTCTATAAGTCAAATATTAATTAAAGGAAATAAATTAGATTGCAGTTATGTGCAATTTTGAACTGCAGTATTAAGAAAAAATGCTCTTCAGTAGTTAATTGGCATCAATTGTGATTTGTCCAAATTAATTTAATATCCAGAGTGAGGTTAATATTTTGTACATTCTAATAATAAAGAAGAGAATTAGAGAAATGATGTTAGAGCAGCTGCCAGCTACATCTGGATGACATTTCTTGGAAGTCCTATCACATTTCCTGGCTCATCTGCTCACCTCAATATCAGTACTCATGCCAGTGACGGAAGACCCCGATCAGTTTTCACCAGGGATCTCCAAATGCTGGCTTAACTGCTCATCCACTGTCTTCTGCCATTGCCTTCACAAAAGCACCATTAGACCTTACATTCTGAGGACAACCCGGACTAGGTTTGTGAAAGGGGTATAACTAAACGTCTTGCCAGGGGCCTTGCATCCCATTCTGAGATCTATTCTGTGAAGGCAAACGGTGTGCAAAGCCAGTTTGCTATCAGCATTTGAATCCCTTTGGAAATACAGTCAGCCCTGTTTATCTTGGTTAATCAGTTTTAGACTCTACCATGATAAATGAATTTCCGGAAGTAGGATTCTTTATTTATATACAGTCGTCCCTCGTCCCTTCGCGCCTCGACGGCTTCGCTCTATCACGGTTCCGTGAAGCTGCCACCGGGGAAGCGGGAAGTGGCGAGGGACAACTGTATACAGTAAAGTAGATAAAATGTGTGTGTGGGAGTATATGAGCACATTCATATAATGTTAAAAATCAGAATTAAAAAAATTAACATACTGGTTTCAGTTTTTTTGTCCTTAATAGCATTGTCTGCCACTCACTGTTTTTATTTTGAAATAATCTTAATGACTATTTGTGTGACACATTCCTTTGAGAAGGCTGAGTTGAAAACCAAATAAACCTGACAGACATTTACATACACACACACCTTCTTTGTCTTTTGAAAAGATTAAGCAGCCCACTGCTTCAACCTACACCGGCTAATAAAGGGATTAAAGCATCCTTGTCAAGAATTTGGGGCTGATTAGATTACTCTCAGTCAAGTGCTGTTATTTGCTCCAATTGAACTAGCGACCTGGGACCTCTCAGGATTCATACATCTACATGGTCTACAGAGTGCCTGCCTCTTCCTCACTTAGGTGAGGAAAAATGTCACAGTTGAGACCCTCTTCTCTTCAGAATGTGTTTGAGGATGCTCTACTTCATTCATATGGGTAAACCTTGGGTTCTGCAGACACCAAGATCCTACATTGGTTTGTTTGGATCTGCCTTGGGTGGGCATTTCAGAGGAAGTCAGAGTCTGTGAGAAAACTGCTCAGAGTGTCTTTCCTCAATACATAAAATGGGCCTTCAGTCTTTGGTGAAGTTCCTGCTGTCACAGCCACCCCACTTTAAGAGTGGCAGAGTTGGCTTTTCCACCTGGCTGAAAGCTCCGTGAAGTCAGTATCTTGAACCTGAGACAGGGCCTGCAATGACAGTAGCATTGCCATGTGTTCTGCCCTTGCCATGCATGAGACAGGCCCTGTGATAAGAGCCTTTTATTATTTTTACCTGTAATCCTTTCGCTGTGAGACAGATACCACTATTTCTATTCTACATAAGTGAAAGTAGGCTTGGAGAGCATAAGTAGCTTGCTTGTGGTCACAAGGTTGGTAAGCGGCAGAGGTGGGATTTGCACTCAACACCAAACTCCATACTATTAGCTATTAGCCTATGCTGCTTCTTGGTCTTCAATGCTGTCTCCAGCACGGAGCTTTTACATGGGGTGGGGGTGGGGCTCCACAAATGCTTTTTGTTGAGCAAAGAAGAATAACAGCTAACAGCCATATAGTGCTGAGTTTGTGTCAGGCAATGATATGGGCACTTTATGAACATGTACATCACAACAATCCAAGAGGTAGGCGCTGTTATTATCCCCATTTTATGGATGGAGAAGAGGCAGTATGGAAGGTTACATAATCTGTCTGAGGGCCTATGGCTAGTAGATGGTGGATCTGGGATTTTATTGTAGGCAGTTTGGTGGCTCCAGAGTGTGTGATCTTGAACACTGAACATACTATCTCTCTTGAATGAATATAAGCACATCAGAAGAGTGATGGTGACACTTTTGCTTGTAAAGGATTATGTTGTTGTCAGGGTGGGTTATGGTGGATGAGGAAACTATTCTTGGAAGCTTTCCTGACCCCTGGAGGCTAACTACTTCTTCCTTTGTGTTCCAGGAGCAAGCAATACTTCACAATTGCTTTTCTTGTCTACCTCTCCCTGGCATGTAGGAGGTGAATAATTAGCTAAATAAAACCCCGCCCACCATTTCTTGACTGGGCAAGAAATTGGCCAAGAAGAAAAAAGGAAAGTTGAGAAATGATTTTGGAGGTGAGAAGGAGAATGATAAAGGCTGGGAAGAAAATTAAAGATGGGACAGTAGCAAAAAGAATCATGCTAAAACTAAGAATAACACTAAGTTAAAAAATGGAGGTTTTTTTCCTCCCACCCTAGAAATGCATCTATCTGTCTGCATCGGAATGAAACCCTCTCAGCAAAATATGAGAGACATCCTCTCCAGGGCTGCTTGCTTATCATAATTGACTGGTCCCAATTTTGTGGAGTTCTTCCAGGGGTGAAAAGGAGTAAGGGACATGGCAGAAGGGAGAGAAAATGGATTTGTAATCAGAGAGAAATGGGTTTAAACCCTGACCCAGCCCGTGACTCATTGTGTGAGTAGTCTGAGTTGTCACCTCTCCAATGAGGACAGTAAATCCTATCCCTTAGTGTTATGGTAGAGCTAAATGATAACAATTGAAGGAAAGTAACTGGTATGCAGTAAGCATTGCCTTTCTGGCTGTCTCCTGCCACCCTGACCACAAGGTACCCTGAGGCAACTCAGGATCCCAACAGAAGAGGAGCTTATATAAGACTCCAAAAGCCAGCACGTACATTTTGGATAACCTTTGATGTCACTGAAACAAACAGAAGTTTGAACTCTGGTGCTTTATCCATTCTTTAAAAATGGAGGCAGGAGAGTCAGTTATGTTTGGCCAGAATGAAATTCAATACACCCATAAGAAGCAATTGAAATGTTTCCAACCAAAAGATCAACCTCTACTCATCATTTCTGCATTGTTCACATTATAGGATTTTGAGATGAAGAGAGATAAGTCAAATGGAAGTCAAGGGAAACAACACAAAATATAATCTGGAATCAATAACAGGGAGCCATTTCTATTGTTAATTTCTTCTGGGATGAGGGTGGGGTGGGGGTGGGTCAGGAGCTCTAATTAGAAAAAACCCTCTAAGCCAGATATGCAGGGCACTTAACAGAGCATCATTCCAGCTCTGTGAACGTGAGTTATGTTGTCTATATCTGAGAGAGCATAAGGTTGCTGGTAGACACTGAGTTTCTCAGCTACACAACATCTTCCTGGGAATGGGCACTCCAAGCAGCTGGGCACTCTTGTCCCAGCTCTGATCCAGGCAGGCAGCTAGGGGTGTGTGTGTGTGTGGTGTGTGTGTGTGTGCACG